TGTGATTGATAGTAAAAGGTGATGGCCTTAAAGATTATTGCAAATGTAACAAAAAAGTAGGTAAAATGAAGTCCTAACTAATATGAACCAAGCTGTTTTGCAGTACTTGCGAAGGCGTTGGGGGAATGGAAAATAACAACCGTTCAAGTCAAAAATGTACCAAGTGCGACGTAATTACAGATATCCATGATGATCGGTAGTCATAAGCAACACATGGCAGGCACAAGAGTGCCCTCACGTTTATCTAGATAGACGTTTTCAAATAATTAGCGTCACGTTGCGTCCAAATGCCACCGTTGTGTCCCCAAAGATTACATTTTTGGGAAGCCTGTTCCAGACACCAAACCACTGCTGCTAAGAAAACTAACCACGGGAATTAAGGTGTAATAAGACTCCTAGAAGCTAGACAGAGATTCTACATAAATATTGGCTGTAGTTGACAGAGGAAGTCATCAAAACATTCGGTAAGATCCCACTTTCTCACAAACCGACAGATCTGCTCGACGTCCCTGGAGTCCGATTTCAGTTTAGGGGAAGTAAGTTTGGGACCAATGAGGCGAGCTTTATGCGATGAGAACCGCAGGTCATTCACGGTTTTATAAACTCCTCCAATCATATTATATCAGTTTATAAATTAAATTCGGTCAGTAGCCCCGTTCCTGTATGCCATATTCCGGATGCGAACGTATTAAGGCTGCATGCATGTTTTCTGAAAAAATTTATTTATCTACTTGGAAAACGCTCTCCCGTTGCGAAACAATACCAGACACTACTGTGCTCACCCTGACAATGAAGCAGGGGGAGTTCCGAAGATAGCGTCGTGCCTGCTCCATGGTCTTTTTGATGAGTGACAAAACTCAAATTTCTTTCATAAAAAGCAATAATTAGCGTCAGCTTTGTCGCCTAAGGTCTTCTTCTCTCGTTGGGTAGAACATCACTTCTGACAGTGAATACGAGCGGACATTTACGAGATAGTTGAGGTTTTCTTAGATGACTTTCTAAGCTTAGTCGAATTTTACATTTTTCAAACATTTTATTCGTGTAGCACATGGGTTCATGTTTCCGCCAAATAGAGAATGTTCATGTAATTAGAATATTTCTAGTCAAAAACATTAGCTTCTCATTGGGACTTCTTCTTTCCCATGACAGCTCTTTGACATTCATCTTCATGTCTTTCCGACAATAACACATTGATTTCACCAATTACTTGTTCTTGACGGTCTTTGGTGTGCAGCCGTGTCAGTAAGGTGTGTGTTCATCAATTTTCCACCAGAAGCAGAGGGTACTTCGCTCAAAGGATGAATGGAAAATACATAATTGTAATTTTGGAAGCCTAGAGGAAAACCCCTTCAATGCTATGCTGGCATTTTGCTTAAACCTAAAATTCTCGGCTGATAAAGTAACAACGATTGCCTTCTAACGAACATGTCTGATAATTCGATCATCCTTTAGACTGTGAACCTGTTTCAAGTAGGAAAAATAAGCAGGGTTCATTATGTTTTTTAATCACAGCGAACACTAAAAAGTTCTTAGATGTTCAGCCCAACGACGATTTCCCGTATTATGCCCTCCATCGCCTCCTTTTATTATTGTAGCTATAGGCTTCATCCTTGATCTGATGTTGGCGTTACTAGAGAGCAATTTGGCCTTAGAGGTACTATCGTTTATCTGCATTTAATATTCTTTCGGCGATCGGCTGTCCATGAAAACCTCCTTGTTTCGCCTTTGCCTAATTTTCTCCAAATGCAGGGGTTATGTTGCTGTTGTACTTGCTACTTTTCTGGGATTTGTATATTGGTATATGTTTCAGTTAGGATGCCGTATTTGAAATTCGGGAGATTTCTTTTGCTGTTTCTCTTCGGTGGACGCTGTTGTCGCACTTAATCAACCGTGATTTGTAGTCATTTCGCAAATGAACATTCTTTCATTTTATCACTCGCAGTACACCCCGCATATTATTAAGATTTCCTGCCAGCTATCGAGATACATTACAATCGTCTCCATGGACGCGGTATATGAGAATTTTTCCTACAAACACGTTATGAGATTGCTGTCCGTAAATGATAACGAAAACCAGTTTCTTTTATTAATAATGCCATCCTTAAGCATGGGGAAAAACAATTCTCTAATAAAACAATCCCGCTAATAATGCCATCCTTAGTCATGCGAAAAAAACAATCCCTTTCTCTCATCCATTGTATTCTTTTTGGAAGGGGAAAATTCGTGCGGGATTTGGCCTTATTTTCAGCCTTAATAGCTTACAGTCAATGGCCTAACTGGGGTGCAAGAGTGACAATGTCTCCCATTTGTTCATCGGTGAGTTAAAGGGTCAGATTACTAGTGTTCCTAGGTGATAAACCGAGTATTTTATCGTATCAGTGCTCCATTCACAACAGATTATTTGAAAAAAGTCCGCATGCCGTCGAAAATTTAATTCACTGGCTGTACTAAAGCCCTTCCCCCTTACTGCGTGGGTTCGAATCCCACCGAGGTGCCGAGTTTTTCACAGTTGGGTCAATATGAAAATTTAATTCCTTTTAGGACGACTTCCCTCTCTACATTAAATGAAGTCTACTTGGCTCATCCTGAAATAGATATCTACGAAGGCGTTTGTGTTCGACAAATGCATATGTACATTTCACAATTTCAGTATGTAACCACTTTTTCGTAATTCGGATGACATCTGGCTGAACCTCGGATATCGTAAACAAATATCATCCAGTTACAAAGAGATGATTGAATGTTCCTTGAAAAATTACTTGTGCTGGTCTTGTTTAGGGCTTCCTCTCCCTCCTCCGACAACCAGACCTTTTGCTTTGAACTAATTTTCTTTGTGTACGAGAGTCTCAGCTGAAATACTAAAAGAAAAACCGTTTAGACTGCCATCTCTGATAACCAAGGTCTACTAAAAAGTATCGTCATGGACGAAAATCACAAAAACTATTCAACGTTTTCCTGAATCCCACGGGGTATATAGACGGAGATCGTAATTACGGGGCGAGAATAATGCCTTTCGATATATGCAACATATTAGTGATATGTAAGCGACACCCAAGTGACAAAAGTATTACAATATATGTCCGTAAATTTAACGCAAGGTCTATACCTAACCCAAAGCAATGTACGCAAATTTAGAGGTAAGTATGATACAGCGGAACGTTAAACAGCTTTCATTAAATTTGAAGAACCACTTAGACCACAATGTGTTTTCAATAAACTGTTCCAATGTGACTTCAGATCCTTGTTGGACCGCCCTGAAAAGGGATATCTAGATGGACATTCAGACCATCATTTGCTATATTAAACGTTCGAAGAAATCCAGCATGGGTTTTGCAAACGTCTAAGAGATATAAAATTGCATGAGTCACTTAAAGGCCTTTCGTTAATAAGGGGGCTTGGAGCCTAGAGAGCACCAAAACAATTGATGCAAGGTGTAAAACTTGTGGTGAAAAACTGGATAAACCGTTTGGGTACCATTTTATTCTACGAAATCTAAGTGTGCATTCCCGACAGACTGCATAGACGACTAGCTCGATATGCCTACTTTCCTCCGTTTACCAGGTATCTCCTCTTTTAGGGTTTGCAGTTAAAAGAATGTTTGCTACAATTTCCTGTTGTATTCACTGTACTCTTTGAAAAGTAAAATACTTTGACATGGAGCACAGTGCATTATATTTTCGTTTATCGTGGGACTCTTTTGACGCCATGCGTCTACATATGGCTTGATCTGTGTGTTTTACTGAAAGGGTTCATTCTACGAGTAAAGGGAAATAGTAACATAAAATAAGTAGCCATGAGTCATACTTAGAAATGCATAGCAGCGGAAAATCAGAAAGCAAAACTACCCTGCCCATCAAATAAGGCTAACTGGCTGCTCTCAAGGGTCTAATGGGCCTTTCTCTAAATAACGGGCGAATTGTCGCTCCACTATATAAAGATTTCAAATACAGCACGCCAGACTTATTCCTTCAATTTTGTAAGGCTCAGGAAATTAAATTAAATTTGACCGATCCGATCGGAATTAAGTATCAAATAAGGGCTGCACAGCCTTCAATTTCTTGCGTTAAAGGAGATTTAGAATCTCACAGGCACGTCAAATTAGGATGAAAGTTAATAGACCCTAGGATTTGGAGTACGCATAATTTTCGCGAACATCCAGAAAATCTGTTTAGGTCTATAGCCCTACCAAACTCTGCAACCGATTTCCCAACAAATTCGCCCAAGCTCCACAGACAAATTCTTCGAAGAATATTTTTCCTTTAGAACAGTCAAGGAGATTTTTTGTGGTTAATGCTGACAATGAGCCTGAACGCAAGACTGAACTTTAGGCCGCTCGACATCACGACAGTAATGCATGCCAACCACGAATTTCGCACGTGCTATTCTTTATGCAACTGAAATATTACCATTGCGGTTCGATTTTTTGAAACTTTTCATGATTTAAACGTATACCCGTCTAATTCTTGGTCCTTAAACCCCGTTTTGTTTCGTTTTTTCGTTATGTTCGCAGCCTTTATCTGTTTTTCACATTTCTCTGCGCAGTTTCTGGTCCACAGCTTTCCTCCAACCCATGTCTTGCCGCTGCTTTGCATTTTCATTGGCAAATGCTTGTTGTCTGTCTGTTACCTGTCAACCGGCCACCACGACTTTCTAGGTTTCTACTGAGCACTCCAGTTTTAGCATCAATGCCATACATGTGCACATCCTGACAAAATAACAGCAGAATATTTTAGCATCCTTGGACTTGTGGATAAATTCTTCATTGTCACTTCTGAATAACTTGTTTTTTTCCGACGTCTTAGAGTCAGTGCACGCATAAAGACATAAAATACTTTAAATGCGCGTTTACTTATTCGGCGGCCTGCGTGAAAGTTTCGGGGTTATGAATCTCTGCCGCGCTGGAAACTTTTCTTGATATTCGCCGCTGCTGTATAGAGTCGTTTGCTTTCCGCATCAGATATCTTTTTTGGATTTTACTTTTGCTTTCCCTGCCCGCTTCAATGTCGTGTTGCAGAAGTGAAGAGTATAAAGAGCAAAATAGGATAAACAAAGAAATTGAAAAGCAATTAAAGCGGGACAAGAAGGATGCACGGAGGGAGCTTAAACTTCTTCTTCTTGGTAAGAGATTGCACATCATGGCACCTCTTTTATGATTTAATACTTGTAAGTCGTTTCTGTCAACAATTCCCGCATTTTTGGCCAAGAATGTTCGTGCCGTAATTCGTTGTAGTAGATGGAGGAAGCTGTTTTCTTCGGCAAATTACCCGGCTAGTCAGGACTTAATTTATAGAAAACTAACTACATGAGTTTATTCCCAATCTAGACATGATGCTGGACAAAAACCTTGGAAATAATGCTCAGCGGTAGGAAATCCGGTAGACTGGTGCATGTAAGGCTTATTTCGACAGAATCTGTGCGAGCATGGAACGTACTACCCATGCAAAAGTTCAGAATAGGAGGAGGTCCGCAAAGTGTAGTCAACAACGGTTAAGCTGTCATCAGCTTGACCATTCAGACTGTCCGATGGGTGATGTCCGAAAGGCTTAACTGACAAAAAACTGCAGAAATATAGGGCTAGTCGACGGTGGGCTTTGGAACATGAGACGACGCAAGAACTGAACAGCCTTTTTTGCGGTTTAAATATACTCACTTAGGTGAGATGCCGGGCTTATATTCCATGGGTCGATCATGATTGAGTGAGGAGCTACGCCCCCTTACCCAGGCAGCCCATTCTAAGGATTCACACCTCGCCCTGAAAAGCCTGTCTGGACACTGGTATTCCCCCGTTACTTAAATATCCTGTCCGAATGTTCTCAAAGACCGCGTATAGATAAGCAAAATTAAATAGTTTTTGCGCCCACGTGACGCCGCACTTTGCCGCCGGTTGTGGCATGGTAATTCAAAACTTATTAAGCCGTTCCCCTGGTCATAGGTTTCAAATACAACGTGCATGTGTAGTTGTCCGTTTCAACACTTAAGGCAGCGTCTCTGACGGGTTACGGAGATCATGCCGGGTTGCAGTATCTGAAGTGCATTTGCAAAATTGCTTGCTCGATGACGTTTCGCATCAGGTTCTGGTATTTCTACCTGGAACTCTGTGCGTGATCCTACGACTGTGGAATGTTAAATGTGTGTGTATCTGTGGTGTCCTGTTTATGTTTGACAATGACTCTGGTTGTTGCCCCAAATCTAAAAGTGACCCGTATAGTTCGAAAACCATATTCCCAGGAGCTTAAATGCTCACCGTTCGGTACAGCCTCACATGCATGCTATGTTGAAGTGGTGTGTGAAAATGGTTTCCAATAACAGAGATGGTCAAGTAATTCATTTTACCTACACTACTGAAAGCTCCCTGTTGCTCTGGAGGAACGCCAAATCAAGAACGAATCTGGTTTAAGCCGGCGCACATAAAAAGATCGATGAATTCATTCATGAAGTTTTCATTTGAAAAAATGGTCTAATGTCGTAACAACTGTCACCGTTGTTCAGGTCGTTCAGTTATCCACCGAAGCATCCGAGTCTCTAAGGATTATGCCGGCATGATGACAGCGCTCGGGCGTTTACGAATCCTATCTCCTCGGTAGTATGAGCGCCGGGGTCGCGATAGATAAGAACGACGGATGCACTAGCAACCGTTGGGAGCTTGTCTTCAGACATGCCAAAATTGCAGATACTAGAGTGAATAGAGATACTGTCAATCTCTAACACGTCGTACATATACCCGGCAGTCTCGCGTACGAAACCCATCACCTTATAAGGAAAATAACTTCACGTCAGAACCAGAAATATCAGCTGGGCTAGAATATCCAGGAACTGAACCTTTGCCCAAAATCCCTGAAAGTCGTTCGTAGCCCGTACGCTGCCATTTTGTCCGAGTTCTTACCGTTTCGGCTCGAATTTGAATCTTACCCGTCTCCTCAATCTACACTTGTTAGACCATAGCTCTCGTGGTGTTAACGCGGTAAGAAATGCGGAGCCTTATCTGTGACATGCTTTCACTTCATTTAAAGTGATGTCTCTGACACCATCTCGTCGCACTGCTCTGGTTGATCGGGTGGAAACCTCACTGCGTCGTGCCGTCATAGGAGGAAACTTTTTATAATGAACTCCGGACTGCTGTCAGGTTTCTGAATATGTTTGCCCATGCCGTTGCAAGACGTAGAATGAGTGAACATAGATTTGTGATTCATATACAAGGCTATCCATTTGTCACTACGCCGTAGGTAGTCGCCGCGAAGTTAGTGGAAAGCTCGTCATTTTCGCTGCTAGGGATTTCTTGATTGCTCTAGTTAACTGCTTCTCAATCCACTGGTAATGGCGCTGAGAACCAATTCGACTACATGCCTGTCAGAACATGTTGGCCCAAGCCACTGCTAGGTTTTCACACGGGATGTCTGTGGCTACGGTCCAGACTAAATGTCGAAAAGACGCGATCTGCGGTAAGCTATGGAAACCACCGCTGCAACAGTCTTTCATCTGTCTCCACCAACTTCGTCTTCTCTGCGGCATCTTCAGTATCAGACAACTCCCTTGAACTCGAGCATGCTCTCCAGAGTACTTCTTGGGCCTCGACCATAATGGGCGTCGCCGTGACCATTTGATCTCTTCTGAAACAATCAGACTGTTATCGCAATGGCTGATCACCTTTGCAGCCATCGGAACTTCATTGACCTCTGTCATGTGACTCCATCGAGCTCAGGAGTAGGACTGCCGGAGATCTTTCAAGTATCTACGGCACTGTACCAGACGTAGAATACGAATCGGTCTCATCCATTTGGCCTTACGATCACGGCCAATCAAGATAGACCAATAGTGCTAATGTCGGACACGACACTGGTCGAAAAGCACTCTACCCAGCCTCTGAATCTAGCCAGCTTGACCCCTCTGCCCTTCTTCACTTGGAAGACACTCCGCTGCCCAAGCTTAACTTTGACTACAAGCCACTGTCTACTGAACAGACGGCGAAACTAAAGGACGAAATATCTGACAAGGAACCCTCTCCCGAGTAAGTGTTGTTCAAGTATTAGCTGAGTGGCTACAGGACCTTCGGTTCAAATTTCAAAAGTATAAACCTTTTCCACGGAATATAGCGACGCCGCCACTACGCCACCTTTCAAAGAAATAACTACGAAAGTACTACCGCGTCATAAGTCCTCTTGACGTCTGCACAGGTGTCTTAATTCACCGCAACTGCCGTTTATCCCTCAATGAGCGGACACGGGAGAACTAGCCCGGGTTCCGACCTGGGCGATCCCTCAAACACCACCATTGGCACCAACAACCTTACTTCGTCTGTTTCTTAAATTTTGCGTCCGCGTTTGACTGTCCATCGAGATTTCTTATGGCGCGGCCAATTTTGCCACACGTGTCTGGACTTTCCAGTTGAACTATTAAGGATGTTTGAATGAATGAATGGATGACGTGTAAAGGAAAAACCAACCATCTCATGGTAGACAATTGGTCGTAGTCGATTCTGTCAGTGTCCTTGCATTATCTCGCTCGTTGAACTGGTTCTTGATCTTCAGAGGTTGTAATCCTAATGACCTTTTTCGTGCTCTCCTGTACCGTGCTTTTTCAAGCAGTGACTAGTAAACGTTTAATTGGTCGTCCTGCTTACCGCGAACTGGTGTTCTTTATATTTGTTACTAGAAAATGCATCCAGTACATTTATCAACTCGATTTTTACCGGTAATCGCATGACTTACTAATATTCTATGAAGTTTAGGCCTATTTAAACCTTCATATGGGCCTACGTCAAATAAAGTCAAAGGCTGACTGGAAAGGAGCTAAAAAGCAATCGAAGTTCCTGTACTCCACTTTGACGGAAATCCCTAACTGTTTTACAGGACCTCTTGTGCACTTTGCTAGTTCATTTTTGACTATCAATTTGGCCGGCAGTTTTTTCCGCCAAAACTTAAAACCGCTTCTAAATCTGTTCCAAAAGAGTTTCGGATTTCTCGTCTTTCCATCTGATTTGTTTTTCAAAGTTACCCATCCTGAATCTCTTACCCTGTCCTGCCTAGTGCTTTTTCTGATCATCTGGTAAATATTATCGTACATACGCAGCTAACCGTTCCTTGTATAAAACCTCAGACACCGGGTGAGCTAACTCGGAGCCTTAATCTCGGTGTTTCTTGATCGTCTCGATTGCTCTTATAGTTGCGTTAACAGCACCCAAGTATTCTGTCATTTCATCAAACAACTTGTTCGCACGTTCCTTGTCAAATATGCTTGTTTTGCGCGTGACCCGCATTAGGCGGAGGTTGCGCGCCACGTCAACTACTCAGCTTAATCTCATCCCCAGACGACATGGCTCAAACACGCAGCCACTACGAGGGCGGAGAGGAAGTTACGCTGTCCTCGTTTTCATTCGCGCTTTATCTACTCACAAGCAGTCGAACACGCCCTAAGGTGTCACAGACAGTTGTTACCTGTAGGTTTGACACCTGAAAAGCCTCCGTTGTCCGTCCCACCTGACGAACGGCCAGGCCTCGCCGGCACCCCTTAGGTATGAAAAATCGTAGACTCCGTCACTGAGACCCAGTTACCACAAAACTGGAGCCAAGTAAGTGCGTGGCAAGCGTAGACGCGACCACAGTTTTGTCTGCCATTTAGCCTTCAACAAGCTTTTCGTTTGGCTCAATCTTGCCATTGAAAGGTGTGGTAAGGGAGTGAGGCAGATAACGCCCAAGTCCGCATTTCTGCAAGCAACTGTACATTTGAGCTACTATCGCCCACTGCCTGGATGTTTATGCTCCTCGCTTGCGATGGACGGATTTTTCATTATGCCCCGCCCGCAGTAAGCTGAGTCTGTCTCACCGTCTCTGTTGCCTGTTTCCATCGCAGGGTTATTTTCTTCTTCCCTTACGCCTGCTGCTAAAGGCAATTATCAGGCCCCTCAGTCGTACTGCGAATTAGTCGGCCTAGCCTTTGGGGGTGGTTGTGGAAATTTAATCAAGCGTGATTCAAATGGTTTAATGACTCAGTATCTGTTAGTTTTGCCCCGCCATAAATGCCTCCGCTTGAGTTTCGAACGAATTCCCTGGTCCTCCGTCGAAGTCACTTTTCTTGGTCGACCACAATGATATCAAAACCGATCGACAACATGAAGTCCAAAGCAGTCATTTTTCCCAGTGGCACCTACTGATATCTATGTCGGGCAGATTATATCACCATAGCTTCCTTCGTGTTCCAGCGTAGGTTTGACGCTGTCCCAAGAGTTACACCCAGTACTTCTTGCACAGCACATCCAGGCATTCTTTGCTTAGTTACCAATTTTCCTTTTTTCCCCTAGGTACGGGCGAGTCCGGAAAGAGCACCTTCATCAAACAGATGAGAATTATTCATGGCTCCGGATACTCGGACGAGGAGCGGCGCAGTCTGATAAAGCTGGTTTATCAGAACATTTACCTGGCCATGTACACACTAACCCGAGCCATGGAAACTCTGAAGATCGACTACGAGAATCCAAACAATAGGGTCCGTCACTTTTTAATGCTGTAAACCAATTGTTGCATACACAAGTTTGTCTTTGCCTCTGCCTTGGAACTCCCATACGTGAGCACCATATAGTTGGAAAATGTGTAGTAGAGTCCTTCCGTGAGGAGAAGACGACGAATTCATGTGAACACCCTTGTGGACTCCTCTCTTCCACTGAACACATTGTTGCTATGTCGTCTTTCTCGCAGTGACCGTTGAGAGTTGTGGGGCGAATTGAGGGTTCATTGCCACTAAGCCTATTACCGTGGTATTTTCTGTCTACCTACCCTCATTGGGTCGAGGTTTGGTTACCAACATTCAGGTTACCCACAGTCTATAAGCTTGTCGTCCGGAGCATAAACCCGTAGCTTTATTGTCGGCGTCTTGACGACCGGCTGCGTGCTTCTTTATGGTCAGTGTGCCGGTCTTTCCTCAAAGCTGCCGATTTCGATGGAATTGTAACCTTCGCCTGCGCGCCTTCCTCTCGGCCATCCGGCCGGTGTGAGGGCCTCTTTCAAGCCCATCCTATCATGCGTATATGACGCACATACAGAGACCGACGTTTAAAGGGTCTTCGTCATCCAGACTCGTTCGTTCGATTGTGCCCACTCACTGTTCTTCGATTTGCGTCCGGTTGAGGACGTAACTAGTCTACTGCAGACAAACTTGCCTACTCAAATGGCCTTTTCGTTCACCGAAATTTCATGTCACGTGAATTTGGCCGTGCCTGGTGGCGATGTCGAGGTGTCCAACCGCGGTTTGTGTGACTGGCATGCCAACTAGCCAGATTTCGCGTCGGAACAGGCCGCCGACCGGGACTTAGTTAGTGGGCGGCGGATTCCCTCGTGGTCAACACCGCTAAACACAAAGGAACGCTATTGTAGTGCCAACTGTAGTGTATGCGTTTATGGTCAGCTTGAGTCCGGTCGCCCAACGCGGCGGTAGACGCAGTGTATGATCTGTGGGAGTGAGACCCATTGCCAACAGCATCGTTCGTAGCTGAGTTTTGATCGCATTCTGTTAATTTTAATTGCTCTCTATTCACGGTAAAAATTATACTTTTGAGTCAGATTCCAGACCTCCTCCACAGGTACTTGGCTAGGCCACACGTATAATCCACCTTTGTATAATCGTACCCGCTGTCATTGCTAATGATACTCAAATAACTCCAGGTTCCTCCTGACTCAGCGTTAGTCTACGTCCTCAGGCTTTGACGCAGGGTATTTGCCTGCTGAGAATAGGTTATATGGGATGGTCTTTCTGTATCGGGGAGGTGTTACATGTCTCCGTCACTGCACGAGTTTGATGCCCATTCATTCGTCCCAACTACCTATTCAGAGAGGGGGAGAGGGAGAGAGTACACTTGTTTCCGAGACGTTGCTGCCTACGGCCGGCTTGCTCGCCCAAATTGTTCAATATGCACTTCGTCGAACGTACTCATCTGATATCGAAATATTTCAGCTGATCCGTTTTTTAAGTCGGCTGCGTTGCCTCGCCCATAAACCGTTGTTGCAGTATTTCTTCTCATTTTATTTCATTTAAGACCCCATTCTGTCGTTATGGGGATATGGCATTACATCCATGAATCGTTTTGGTAAGAGGAGGAGGAGGAGCTAAGTGACAGTTATTTTGTTGAAGTAAAAACTGAATGGTCCCAGAAGTTAAAAGAAACGCGACGTGTGCATGCCAGAGCTCCTCTTTGGTCGGCCTTTTGGCAGGTAGACAACCGTTAGTTTTGCGAGCAGTTACTCAGTACGAAGATCCTTACTTTTTGATACGTTGACATGCTTCTATAGTCTGTTGTTTTCTTCACCATTCAAACTGACGGACAAGGTTGGGGAATAATATCTGTCAGCCTCGATACTGACCATCCGATGCCGGAAGTAGTGTTGTCTTATCCAATGTCAGTAGATGCCCTCATTATCCCTCGTCCGTTTTTACATAACCTGCTGTCAGCGAGAAGCAGGTCACCTAAAGGACATGAAAACTTTTCGGGAGACCGCGTTCTTTTCCCCGTCTCTTGTGTAGAAAAAAATATGACATTAGCCGCCCTCATCGTCGGATCATTATCATCGGATTCCGTCCGAACATGTCTAGGGGCTATAAGCGAAAAAGGGTGTTCATGAAAGTAGTTGAGAGGCGGCGCAAGGGGCTTTTGTCTCTAGGAATATCCTTAGACCATAACACAGGATGATCTCTTCTGGTCGTGGCTGATGCATTTCTGATCTTAACTAGGCTTTCATACCGATGCGCTGTCCCATGTATATGCTATTGAAAATATTTTTGACGTTCAGATAAATCTGCCTTGCCGTAGCGAATGTTAAAAATGAGGCTCTTAAGCAGCATATCTTTTCTTGACCTTAACCGTCCGCTAACCGCATATGATAAGGACAACTTCGGGCCCCGTTTCAACATGCGCCAGGTCTGTGCTCGAATTAGCCGAAATTCCGATATTCAACTTGAAGGCATGCATATGACGGTCGTCCTTCACACAAGGGATTGCTGACCTGTGCGATCCTTCGAGCCTCCCCCCTCCCCCTCCCCCTTCTCACTGCCTCCGATGGTCCGCCCGTCCGGACTCGTCCCGGCCGTCATGTTCCCTGAGCCCAACGTGTTCTTACGTCACCATTAATTTGACCGTTAGGAAAGTTGGGGAGGTTCGCGAACAGGGCGACCATCTGCGCATTTCTGGTTTTGTAGCCTGAGGTTAGTCCACCAACTAACTAGACGACTTGTTGCTGTCCGACCGTTATTTAGGGCGATCATTTGGGATGTAGTTAGCGCAGACTATGACGCTTGCTGAACCGGTCGTTGACCAATCTCTGCAGACCACCGCTCTTTTTGAAATTTAGTCCCTACCCCCTAGTGTTTGGTATCTTTGTTTTTTTGCGCCAAGCTAGAAAGTTCGAATTGACCCAAATCGGACTTTGACTGTCAATTAAATTTTATGGTTCCACTTCTATCAAATGTATACATGACTTTGCACTAGAATAAAATTGGTATCTTAAGCCTTAGGTCATATTAAAAATCCATTTATTTGAGGGTAGTCTATCCGTTTGAGTGTCCACTGGCACATTAACGAGCTATAAATATATCCCAGAGCGCCGTATATTGGCTGAGCTTTGTTCTACTAGCTTTTATGCCCGCGCCTCAGTTTTAAACAACATGTTTTTTTTTACCTGTTCTCAGTCGAACATTAGAATAAACACTAGTAGCTTTGTTATAATTTCACGGCAAACTTTCTTCATTAGAACTGCTTGTCTTTAATGAAACTTTTCCGTGACTGTATATAGCACAAAGTTTTCGGGCACGTTGGAAATTTTGACTGTTTTGTTCATTTACTGAAGTCTGACGACGACAAGGGGAACCGACGTCGAAAATTGACTAATAAGGTTCTTACTTTTCCCAAAGAATCTACTATCTTAAAATTATATTTTCAGGGATGCCTGCCTTTCAGTTTGCATATTTCGAAATAGTTGAGATTCTTTTGAAGCAAAATAACCTTTATTACGTAAATTTTCGACCCTGGTTCTCCAGCTCGTGGTCAAATTTACGGGTCATGCACGAAAACAGTTAAATATTTGACCGCGTAGAACTAATGATCCTGTGGTCCGTCGAAGCCTGCGCCAATGCGCGCCAATCGTATTTTGTCAGCCCCTCGGCATTGGTTGCGCTCGCCTTCATTTGTCCTTTCGAAGTTTGTACGTGACATCTAAATTGATATGCCGATTGTTGCATGTCTTACCTGAGTCCATTGCTTCCAGGAATTCGTGACCTTTTCTTCTTGGTCAGGCGCCAACAATGCGAGTGTTCTCTCATGCAAATTTATGTCCATTGTGTGCATAACCACCTTAGATAGATGATCTCGTTTCCACACCGTTAACATATGCTCATGTATGCGGATTAAAACAGATTTCTCAGTCTGGCAACAAAAACAGTATTACAGCTGGCACATGCAATCTTATAGACAACGCCTTTCATATCGAGATAGCCAACTCTGTCTTCAGGGTGTACAATCCGTGTGCGTAAGGTAGTTGCCGGCTGATGTGCTACTTGTATCTGGTGTTTTTTCGATTGTCTTTCGACAAGCTCAGATGCATTTTTCACGTATAGGAGAGTCCGCCAGGCGTATTTTTCATGTGTCACCTGTGGTGCAATGTACTGTGGTCAAACCGGAAAATCCTCTACACGCCTACGTTAATACCAGTTGGCAGTAATAAGACAAGACTGCTTATCCCAAGCCGCCATGCATACACTAAAAACTGGAAACAAATTTGCTCGAAATAAAGCCCTCATTGTCTGTTTCTGTCCATATAAGAAAGGTCGAGAATTCCTGAAACTCATTAACGCTCATGATTCATGCATCAATTGGCGCATCGATCTGGGCGCCGTATACACAAACCTCAAAGTAAAATGGAGAAGGTACTGGCCAATAAAAGCGTGATGTCAACCCACAGCATTGACAGCAATATCGATTTTCCGGGCATGTTTGCATTTTAACTGTTTTTCACACCTGGGGAATCAACGTCATTCTCCCAAGAGGCTCAATTTCCTGCAAAACATGTATGTAATGGTAGGGGGACGCCCGTCGAGCGCGCTATGAAACCCACTCGTCCTCTTGTGCCTTGGCGCCCTGCCAAAACGTGTAAGCAATACGCGTGAAAAACGTCATTCGGACTCTGTAGAGCGAAAGTCGCCTGTAAAGCATATCGGAGGTCTGTAGAAGCCACCACCAGCCCCTCCAGTTGAATTTTCGTTTCACACCACTTTTGTTTGTGCAGGGCTTTGTTCGGACTGTGTCTGTATGGTACGATATCTGGCTGTCGTCCGACTATATGTTTTGGCAACAGACGGCTCTAGTTTTATAAGTTCTGCGTATGCAAATTTCGACACTTTGGCACACCGAAACCTCGATGTAGTGACTAAGAGCTGTTTCGGTCTTAACGGACTGGTAACTTATCAACTGCTAAATCCGTATTTCCGCCAACTTTGCCGAGCGATCTGTCTACTACTAATTGTAATCATCACTTGATCACAGCAATTGCCTTTTGTTAGTCTCGCATGCCCTTCCACGCCTGTTGGATCCTTTCTTTACCTATATGTCCATCCTTTATCCTCTAAGCAGTTGGAGGCCTTGTGAAGATTTCCGAGTCGTAATGTCACAATAAGCTCTGAAGTGGTTGAAAGAGGCTGGTTTTAATGGGCTTCAAGAAGGGAAGGTGAATGGCTCACCATCCGTTCTTTTGTACGTACCCCCGGTAACGCGGATAGTTTTCAGGCCCTGTAAACTTCTGCTACGCCCCATACTGTACAAAAAGCTCGTGCTCAGTATCAATATATAGTTTTAACCACTTTCGGACCTCTTATCCGCTTGCGTCTTCCAAGTAATGTTGGTTGCATTTTAACGGTCTACTGTCAACTTTTATGGTACATAATGCATCCACGCCTCTATCCAGTCTGACCTTTCCAGGGAGGAATTCCAGTTTGTAGGGGAAAGACTGCTGACCTGTCGTTTAAGACTTAAAGCCAGTAATTTGCAGGTAAAGCAGTGTTAAGGACACAGAAAAAGGAAGATTAGCGTGGTTCCTTTCGTCCTATTTACCGTTCCTACCCATCCGGGAAGGGCCGGTTGATCAATGGGTCATCGGGCCAGGCATTTTACGACCTGAGCCACTTGACCGTGATCGGGCGTGGTGTGTATTCGTCTGACCCAATTGCGCGACGGAATACTGCCGGTCTGTTTTATTCGGGAGTTCTAATATAGAGCCATGACCATGAGCAATCGATAATCGAGAAGCATCGTTAATAAAAAAAAAGAGGGGAGTCTGTGAAGTGGCCCTTTCCAACCCATCGTCTTGACCCAGCGATGCCCAAGGCAAGGGACCACCGTGCAATCAACCAACGCCACTTTTCTGTAACCATAATCTGCCCTTAGAAAGCTGTGTTGTGTGACAGGGGTGCTTCGCGGAGACCTGCCTACTGTTCGACAGACCTCATCTGCATCATCGATCACGATGGATGGCAAAGCGAACACATCTGTCGGCATCACCACACCTCGCTGTTATTTTTAATGATTCACTCCCTCATCCCAGCTGGACTCGTAGTTCTTGCCAAGTCGGTACAAGTTGTCTCATTGCATGACTCCGGAACCAACAATTCAGCTAGTTTCCCCGCCTGTCTTACCCGCCTTTGGTGTCCCTCTGAGGTGTGTCTCAGGTGCGATCAGCTGACCTACGATGTCTACTCCACACTCGTGTGTAATCCGCACTTTGAATAGGAGTAGGGGACGGTCAGTGGCTTAGTGTATTAAGGCACAGGCCGGAATATGGCCCTTCTGCCTCGGCTGCCTGGTTGAGCCCTCACTGCGAATATCTGTCGATGGTTAAGTAATCTTATCGTCTGCTGTCGTCTGGTGTATCCTTAGAAGAGCATCTTCACGCGTGATGCGGTTGTAGCTGACTGGAATGCTTTCAAAGAAAGCCTATTATCTACAGGTTTTTCAAATATTCGCCTAATACTGGGACCACCAAGAAGATCACATAGGGCATCACCATCATCTAGCAGATGATTTTGCGATGATTCTTAGATGTCAACACCTTATCCCATTACAGGAGAGCTGGGGTACCATTGACGTACATGCTGGTTTATGATTTACGAAGGGTAGTGATTTCGGCCAATGCAAATCTGCCTCTGTCATGGGTCTGGGATTCTATGTGCCTTCCACCTCATCGTAGGTTGTTCCGGCTAAACTAGGGGTGCATTTCGCGGTAGGACCTCTGTAGTTCAGAGATTTAAACGCGTCCGCTCCAATTTTCTACATTGTCGTATTCCTTGGGTGTATCCTAACGTTTTCGATGGCCGGCATGGAGTGCTGCCGTTGCATTTGTCAACAGAAATAAGGGGTGTTGTGATGCTAGAGGGCTGAGCCACCGACATCAGCAACTAAACATTAATTTATACGCGCTATTCGTCCAGTTTCTTTTGCGTATTCCCGTCGTTTGGGGACAAGTTAGTAAACCTTTTGAGACCTATTTATAGTCCCTCTGCATGTAGTGAGTTTTCGTCACCTCTCACTGAATTTTTTATGTCTGGTATAAGTATCCTCATTAACACTTGTCATGTGCATGCTCGCAAATTCATACACAGTAAATGACCTAGTGCAAGTGGAGCAAATGCAGGCATTTCCTTCAAAGTAAGTGCTGTCTTGCGGCACAACTTGGCTGTTTTCCATAACGTAGACTCTGCCGATCCGGTGCGTGGTAACTTTTTGCGGTCGTTGACCGGCATCTCAGGCCGTTCTGTTGCTGAATGCCCGCGTTTCGCCCTACAGAATGTGGCTGTGAATTCAGACGGACATTGTGCTTCTAGACGAAGGGTGTCCTGGGTCCTGCGCTGTCCGCCCTCCCACTTATGTTTGCATTGCATTCCAGCCTCTGTTGTCCTTATGACCCCTATTCAACCCCCCCCCCCGCCCGCATATCTACGTGTTTTCTTTTACCAAGCCCCATAATTGAGTCTACTAGAGTTTGAGGTGACGACCCTTCATCGTGCGGGTTTCGCATTTCACAAGTCTGTTTTATATTATGCCGCGAAATATTTTGGAGGTCTGTGAAAGAGCTTACTTACTGACCCGCGACAAATATCCCGTCTAACGCATGGCAGCTCGACCATCACAAGCGTGCCCCACTTAGTGAGCACCGTCCCGGTGACTTCTGCGTGAATTAGTTGGTAGAAAGGGAGACTTGCGCAGCATCTACTGCACCCCCCCCCCCTTCTTCCTCACCACCATGTTGCGATGGCAATACCATGTCCAGACGACCGGAGGCAGGCGTGGGCGAAGTAGCTGATAAAGCGAGACAACACCTACGCGCGCAGCACGCGACCTAGTCCCCAGTACATGTGCCAGATTTTGTAAAGTTGACCCGATTCTCAGTCGAGAGTGCCGTAAAGATCACATTAAGGAGCTATCGCCTTCTAGCTTAGTTCTCCGGTGACAGCAAAATACTCTCGCGAGAACCGAGCTGGCTACGCGTACCGGTCCCTGACGGTTCGACCGTCGTTGCCGATGATGTCCACCGTGTGCTCCACAGCAAGGAGAAGCAGGGACGATGGCTTGCGCGTGAATTAAATTATGGTGAGAGTAGACTTGCGCAGCACCTGGGTCCGGTGTCAAAATAGTCAAGAAGGCTGGAGGCGGTGGAGGGCGCATGTGGATGACACGGTCGAGGCCGCACCTCGACTCTCCAGTCCGCACCCCCTGGTCCACACAGCAAATGACCAGGATTTTAACCAACAACAATGGGGAGGGCCGCAGGCGTCCCAGTGTGCGCGACTTCTGCCACCGATTGGGTCTGCCACCGCACCCCGAAATGTTAGCATTCGTTATAGTGTGCCTTCCGATAACGCCTACCAGAATCCGATATGGCCGCCGTGTTGGTCCAGCGCATCTACTACGTATGTGGATAGCAATGATTTAACATCTTTGAGAGCTGCCGTGGAAACCCCCCCCCCGAGCCGTACGAAGACCGAATCACTTCTTCAGTTGGCAGCCTTCCAAGCCCAAACTTTTGACGGGTCAAATTTACTCTAGCGAGGATACTAGTGTCTGGCTGGACCACACTCTTTCCTTTCCTATCGAATACTGGCGACATGCCGGAGTCAGGCGTACTGGCGCGTGCGGTGGCTGACGTGACATGAACTCTGCCACTCACATGTTTAGTGCGCAGATTGCTTTTATGACTCGACAAAATACCACGAAAAGCCAGGACGAGTCTTAAAGGCGCCACCATGAGTCCTGCTGATAATGTTCAAACACGACACTGCTTCAGAGAGCTTTCGTAATTTGAGTTTTTTCCCAGCCGATTGTCGAAGTTGCCCAATAAGCTACTGCTTTTGTACTTCCTGAGGGGGCTCCGTTTAATTTGGCGTTTTCTCTCAGGTACAGTTTTCGTTTGAATCGACCTTTCCCTTTTTCCTCATTCGGTGGCAGTCTGATCAAACAAAAATGCTTCTTAGTGGCCGCCATCATAGGCGTTAGGCCTTTTATATGCAAATACGTTACAGGCAGGAAAAAAACATCAGTTTCTTTTCTTTTAACTGTCTGGAGGGAATATTTTTCCCAAAAGGAGTCCTTTGTTGTCTGGAGGGGGTTTCTACTGCCCTTCCGTACCATCCACATGACACGGCAAACATTGTTATAGTTTGTCAGATGCGCGTAGGCTATCGGCTTCACGTTGGATTTATGCACCTGTCTTCGTGATTCTATCAGTAAAAATATTCTCCCTGCATAAAAAAAATGTGGGGCGGAGTTTGCCTTTTTGGTGACATCTTAGTGTTTTTCCTTCTTTTTGCTGCTCGACAGTTTCATGCATAAAGCTCCACTCAGCTTTTGTCCGAAAACGGGATTGTTTTTGCACCTACCAACGTAGACTCCGTCCCCCCCTCTCATCTCCATGTCGCAACACAGTCTATGCGTCTGACACTGTACACCGAGAGAAAACCCACCCAGGATAAGACTGGACGTAACGTTCTCTCCCAGGAAGTAAGCGACTGCTCCGCTGGCCGGTCCTGAATCCTGCAGCTGAAAGCCAGCCTAAAGCGTGGTCAAGCCTCGACGACGTCGGCAACTCAACCTTGTTCTCGCGCCCCCCCACGTGTACTTATGACTCGGCAGTATTCATTGCTGCATGTTTGGCCGATTCTGCCTCCCGAAACTTTGTGCGGCAACGGCCGGCTGTTGAGGGAGGGTTTCGACTGTGGGAAATGCGGTTGCACAGATTGTGCTGTTGTCGTGGTGTCTTCATCTCCTCCACACGTTTTTATCGCTGCCACCTAGCAACCTCATGCCTGACATCTCCGGAGCGCTGGTAGCCGAAGGCCACAAGTTGGCATTCCGGCACGTCTTCAGAGAACAGTGTCCGCACGGCGGAGGCGGTTCCTTCACGCAGGGCTTTTTTTGCCCTATGCACGACCTCGGTCTCACCAGCAGATTTTTGGGTTTAATCCTTACCACGAGCTTTCGTCTATGGCTACTGCTCTGGCGAGGTACAGTTGGGCTCATGCGAAAATGATTCAGCAAGCTAAGTTTATTACCGAAGGGATGGAACTAGCATGTATATTCGCGGTCACAATTGCGCACAGTTTCGCCTGGGGGCGCACTTGCAAGCCTGGATTTCGGATGAAAACTCGGTCAATCGATTTATTGATCTGGCGCCGGCGTACAGAGCTCTGCGCCGTCGGTCGATGATTGGCCTGCATGCCCTATAACTCGCTTGTTCTGTTGCTGCTACTACCTCTGACGATGGACTCCTGCACGAGTCTGAAAACTCGGGACAATAAACGAAGTGTTCCGGTGCTCGAACCGTCTTCTTCACTTATCCGATGCTTATGCACAACGCATCAACACTACCGGCTTCTTTTTCCCATTTCTCCTACCTGGTTTGTGATGACCAGGGTCCAACCCCCACCCTTGGCTACTGCAGCTTTTCTGTTTATAGGATCCACATCTTCGAAACTGCACTGAAGGGTCGAGTGCCTACTGGTTGGTTGGTCATCGCTAACACCACGTGAACGTCCCTTTCCGTTGTGGAGTTTAGTTGTGTGGCCAATGCCATGTGACGTCTCGTTGCCGGTCGGTGTCGCGTTCTCTGACTGCTTTTTGTCGAGGTTCGGAAAACAGTCGCACATCAATTCACAACTTGCGAGTCCAGCCACGTTTTTCTGAGCCATCCCTATATGGGGGAAGCAAAACGGACGCGCCCATTACAAGGCCGGTCCTCCCGTTCCTACCTGATGATTTGCTTTTCAAAGCGAGTAGCACCTAAAGCCCTTGGTGGTCTCCTTGCTGGTGTAAATGAAAGCACTAATTGGCGGTTTTCTTGCATGTCTGCGAGCAAGGTGGGGCGTTTTACACCAGCCTATTTAGGGGCCCTATAACCGCCCCCCCCCCCGAAACCTCTCATGCAGTGGGTGTACTTTACGAGTTCTTTGGCCACTGCCATGACATTTGACATTCCCTTTATTTGCAACTGTCGGGGATGCACAGAGCATAGGCGATTTAGTCCTTCCCTTAGGCGGTTGTGTGTACGAGATGAAGTACCCAGCGGTCAGCAGAGATATTATTTATGGTCATTCTTCCACCGTGTGCCGTATTCTATTTTCATGTCAAATGTGTTCCCTTTGACCAGAGTTCTCTCACACAATTTGTGTTTTTGTCGGATTTCTTAAGCCGATCCTTCTATCGTTGTTGCAGGATTACGCAGAAATGGCACGAGAAATCGACTACGAGAGCGTCACTACACTCGACCCTTCACATGTTGTGGCCATCAAGTCGTTGTGGAGTGATCCAGGCATCAAGGAATGTTACGATCGCCGGCGGGAGTTCCAAATTACCGACTCCGCTAAATAGTGAGTTTTTATCTTTTTTCTGAAAAGCTTCCTCTTTAAAAAGACATGAGGTCCGCTAATTCCTTTAATTTTTAAGTGGGAAATGCAGCCAGGGGTTTACGTTTCTCGTTTTATAGAGAAAGCTCTTCACAACAAGCCTTCCCCATCACCGCCCGGACAGCTGTGTACCTGTCCAACTTAGCGGCCTTAAAAAGGCCTCGGGACCTCCAAGCCGTGGCTGCCTTGAGATACAGCAACAGCCCCCCCCCCCCCCTTTAACTGCCTGCCATGCAGATCATCAAATTTGACACTCTTGCGCCCAGTGCGAAAATCATGACGACCTGAGTATGTCCAGTTCCATAGATCGCGACCAGTCTCCTCCATAGCACTGGTGTTGCATTTAGGACATTTGCTGACTGGATGACTAAGTGGCAGCCGAGATAGCTGATGTATCCTAACCGTCGTAACCCAACACCAATTTCCGCCCGGGAGAAGACGGTAGAAAGCGTCAGTAGGTAGGGGGTGTGTATTAGGTACCGTAGGGGAAAGACTGGCTCGAAAAGCTTAGCGGTTCACAAGCAGGGATAGGCGTAGACAACATGTGAACACATCTGGTGTGTGCATTTGGCCATGCGGTTGGCTGTTTAGGTTAGTATGTCCGTGTTCTCCACGCCGAGGCGATGGTCGTGTGGGTCGCACAGTGGCGTGCCTGTCTGACCAGCACACTTAAATACACTACTAGCCTGGCCCTAGCCTACCTGCCGGACGTGGAAGACTGACGCGCTACTGCAATGCCCACAAGCTGCTTGATAACAACTGTTTCTCTGATCCCAGGCGGTAGTTTTCCTAGTCACCGGGAGTTGTCGACAGTAAAACCGCGTCTACATTACTGTTAATGAAGATTTAGAGCCTTGTAGAACAGCCTGATGCTTTGTAGTAAATATTTGACGTTTCCGTTGCTTGTCTTTGCCTTGGCGTGAACATTTGGCAGATGTCCCGGGATTTTTGCTCTATTACGGGGGTTTTCCGCTCTTCATTGGCCATTTGGCGCATTTTTAAGCGCACAGTCGTTTTCGGATTTTCGTTTATAGAGAGACTTAGTTGCTTTTCAGGAGCTAAACTCATTTGTCAGTATGCCGTCCTAGCATTCTTCCGCATTAGCACCCCCACTCAACCACAGTGTTCAGCAGGTTTATTGGTAAAGGCAATTTCAGTTTCTACATCCCCACTTACCGGTCAAAAGTCCTCCCGCGATGCCATGCCTATCGGTCTCAATTTTAAACAGTCATCTTAGCAGTGTCGGCTGCAAGTGGGTCCGAAATACCCACGTAAATTGCCTTTCCAATATTGCCTCTGTCCCTCTTCATAATTGAAATTCAACCGCAGTGCGACGGTGCGGTTTACAGTCCACATACCACGGCACCATCAGAGGGCAGTTAGCCCTCTGAGCATTGCGGTAGCTGTTTTTCGATTGCTTATTTCGCAGCCAACATTTGTCAAGGCCATCAGACCATCCACTAATCGTGAAAGTGGAGTAACTGTGCTGCGATTGGTAGATAGCTGCTCAGCAATTGCGCTACGGAACTCACTCGTCCCGTTGTGCCTTGAGGGATCTCTCTCGGGCCCCGCCAGCAGCCGCACAGCGGCGCGTAGTAGAGGCAGAATAGCATTGCTGACAAAGACAAGGAAGACCGCAGTGGCCATTTCTGGCCGTCGTCAGCCAGCCTCGCCAAACCTCGAGGTGTGGGACACCTGGGCTCAGTGGTTAGGGGCGTTGGATCGCGGGATCGAGCCCCAGGTGTTACACACCTCGGGTTGCTTTTGGTGGGCTGACGACAGCCGATAAAACAGAAATGGGCATTCTACTCTCCTGGTCTTTGTCGGTAATTCTATTCTGCGCCACGCTTGGCCAGCCTCTGGAATATCACGTTTATATTGATAAGCGTGAATATGATTTGCATACAGCTCAGCGGAATAAGAGGAGTCGTTTGCCGGGGACTAGGCCTGTCTGGTCTCGGACGGTCCAAAAAACAACCCCTGGCCGCTCATAATCACAGTCTGTCGACTCTAACCTGCATTCGGCCATGCTGTCAAGGTCAGTACCGGCAGCCAATTGATTGTTGATGTCTCGAGTGATTCTCACAGTCCTGCCCAGGCCCGTTTGACGTATTTCGTGGCGCTACTTTCTGTGGCGAAAACCGAATGAGTTTGAATTGTTTACCCGTTGGTTGCGTAGTGTCTGCTGTACCATGATCATCAGTAAACCATGGCCATCGCAGCCAGGCGTGCACTGACAGTTTTCTGGCACTTGGTTCTTCTCGGCCGGTAGGGGCGCTTACGCTCATGTTTTGGGTGTACAATTCGTTAGCCTAACTGCCCGGTCATCTTTGTCGTCCTTCTGACCCGTTGTGGTGCTGGTCAAAATCCTGGTCAAGTGTTTGTTATGGACCGGGGAGGTGTGGTAGCACGCTGCCGCGTGGGTCCGGCCGTGCCAGCCGCCTACGCCCACTCGCGCCGCCGGTCTTCTTGACTATGTCCGGACGCAGGACGCAGATGAGGGGAGAGAAGGAGAGAGTGCGGTAGATGCAGCGTAACTCTACTGTGGAGCACACGGTGGATATTGTCAGGTAGAACGGTCAAATTGTCTGCTTGATTGCACAAAAACATGCGGACCGTGGGAGGCTCGACGTGACCGCCCACACCTGCATCTATTGTGCCGTATGTTCTTCACTCTGCCGCATGTTTTTTGCTGCCCTTAAGTCGTGGGCGATCAAGGATGAGCTTGCCAGCCGATATTCACGTCTGGAATATGCTCCGGTGAACGCGACTTATACACGCAACTTATTTAAGTAACTGATGGATTTTTGACCGAATATGCTGTCTTTTAAGTTGTTTATATCTTACTGAATTTCCCCTCTGGGTGTAGCCTTTAACCGTTTACGGCGACAAGCACCCGTCCACTAGCTTTATCGATAAGCTGTTCAGAGTCAGTACCTTGTATCCGATCTTAGTTAATATCGATTAAGACTTACGGTTACAGTTCGCAGCTAGTCAGGCATTTTAGGGTAATTTCACCTGCCTGTTGAACAGCCTGATGACCCTAGTCCTGTAAAGTTTTCGCGTAAATAAGTGATCCGCGTGTAAGTTATGAATCTTTCCAATACGACCTTTTGAACAAACGTGGCTTGACTACGAAGAAGGCAGGACATATGCGATGATTGCCTGTTTGCCGTACCTGTCTCTCTTCACCTAACGCCTTATCTGCCGTGAATTCCCTCTACTCACAGCGAAGTAATGCGGCCACTAGGGAATCCAGCCCCACAGTGGATGTCACGACGGCCGAGCTACCAACTTTCAGTAGTAACTACTCCCAACCTCCCCGTGATCTCGGGCTGTCTGGTGCCTCAGCGCTGCTGGAAAAGGGATTTAAGCTAGACTCTGTAAGATTAGTTTGCGAAGAGCGTTAATAAAACGCAGTGTTTGTCGCACCAGATCACAATGAAGACGACGATCATTTTTCGTGTATCTTCTGTGCTTGAATAATAGTACAGACTTCTGTGCGCTCGATTTCATTAGCTAAACTGACAGTTCTGCCGAACCCATTGACGATGTCCATCAAGGGCCTACAGCAGGGCGGGCACAGGGACGGTGACATGCGTGCGAATTAGTTTATGGTGACATTAGACTTGCGCTGCATCTGCCGCACTCCCCACCCCAACCCTCCTAGGCGGAAAAAGAAGACCGACTGACGCGGCGCGGACCTGCGCCTAGGCGTGCCATCACACACCATGTATGTCATTTGTAATGAGTGCGTAGCCCAATAACGCGCGCATGACCTTGGCCTAGCCTCCGTTTTGGTCCAGCGCAGATCCCGCGTGGCTCGTAGTGGACACATGAACTAGACTAGTACATTGTCGTCTTAGCGCCTGAACTCATGCAGGCGTCTCGGCAACTAACTTTTCCTCATTACACATGCTTCAGCGGTCTGGCTACAATACAGAGTACGTTCCTTCTTTAAACTCCAAGGTGAGTCGGAAGTAACATGTTTCCACCGACCGGACCGACAAGGCACCACTTCTATATGATGCTTGCTATTCTCATTCGCAGCCAACGGGACGTAACCTTGTGACCATAATGTTCGGTGACGTGGATTCAGATTTCAAGCCTTTTAGGCCTGTGTTTGCCCTGCGAATGACTTTGATAGCCAATAGACTAGAAGTAGCACCCTCATTTCGTAGGCAGCATTTCTGCGCCTCTACGCGCCTACCGTTTTTTGTCCTGTTTACGTATGGTAGTGCCGATCGCCTTCCACTCTGCTTGTTTGTAAGGACCACTGCAATCGGCGACGGGCGTCTTTGCAAGGTTTGGATTTTTAGCGACGGGCCTCGATGAGCGTGGGCTTGTTCAAGTATTCTTCAAGTTGGGAGGGAAAAAATTGGAGTGCTTTTGCTGTTTTTAGTGAACAGAAAATGGAAGTCGCTGACGGAAGGTAGGCTAGAATCACAGTCCGTGCCGTATAACAAAGGGCCTCTAGTATATGACTGGTGAAAATGACCAGTTTCCTCTGTACCTACTCGTTCTCGATGTGGTCGTATGCATGACTGATCAGTGATGCTGTGAGCGCTGCTGCCGCCTCCAACGCCCTGTAACAGGAAATCCAGGGAGTTCGCCTGGCTACATTAAAGCCAGGAGGATCGAAACGCCATCTCAGTGTTTCCTGTGGAGCCGGGTTCGGAGTTGCCCTCCTCGTCATCCTCACTGAGACGACAACGTTCAAAAAACGGCTATTGGATTAACTGAGACGGACGACGAAGGATGCGCCAGCCCGTCTCTTTTTGGATGATTGCCAGTGTCCTGAGAATGCCATCGCATCAGATATGGACCGTTTCATTCAAGAACTAGTTTGTATACTCGAACAGCTGATCTCGGGCAACAATGCTTTGAAACCGTCACTTTCCGCATACTTCCACACGCACAACTCGTCATTCACAGGCGTAAGGAAGGGCTGCCTGTATAGGTGCCCAGTCCACGTGTATCCGCACAGTGATTGCGATATCCGTTGCCGTTTTCTACGAATTTGGCAGAGGGTAGGATCATTGTAGAATCTTAGTCGAGCTGTGTAGGCAGACAACTGCAGGACTCTTGCACAAATCCAGCAATTGCGGCGTTGTTGATGAAGTCCTAGGCTTCGTGCAGATGTCCCGCCTACTGGAGATGTCAGCGCTGCATCCGGCTCTGGCTGCAGAACGAAACCGGACTTCTGATTTTTTTTCCACCCTCAAATGTGTTGGGTTGTGGTTTTTATATGTCATCGAAAAGAGGCATTCTGGACACGTTTGGGACACGGGCATCCAGTTACGTGGAAGTGGTAAAATGATCTGATCCGTTGATATTGCCTGCATTTTTCTAGGGTCATGCGAGGCGTTGGAATAGGCCATTGTCAGCTACTGCCGTCAGTGAAATGCACTGTCAGTGGAGGTATGCCCACCGATCCGAAGAAGTCAAGTTCTAGACTTCCCCGTAGGAGTCCTCGTCTTGAATTAGGGCGACTTTGAGAGCATAATTTTTTAAAGTCACCTTGGAATAGCGTTCACCGACCTCTTCCTGATTGCAGGGTGGTAATGGGTAACGCTTCTCGATGACCGATTGTTTGTCGCAGCGCGACTGCCTGCGAAAGAAAACGAAAGGTTTATTTCTGTTCTACAGGCGATCGCTTAACGCCATTCTCATTTCCCCGCTCCCGGAAGGCAGAACGTGAGGCAGAACGTGTCCCACTGACCGAATTTCACATCATAACTAATCGCGATCTTGGACTAATCTAATAAGCTGAGAATGGCTATTCCGGTCTCTCATCTCTGTCATGGTAAAACTTGAAAGGGCCCTCTTTCTGGGGCATACCCAATGAAGAAGGGAAACTGGATTTCTTGGTTCACTTTGCTAATTCTTTTATTTCACCTTTTAAATTTTCCTCCAAAGAATATTTTTGGCTGGAGCCTCGACCTTCATTGCCCCTTTTACTTGCCATCTTAGTTACCTGGACAACATCGATCGTATCGCCATGAGCGACTATCTCCCCACCCTGCAGGACATTCTTTTCCTTCGAGTCCCAACAACCGGTATCATTGAGTATCCCTTTGATCTGGATTCCATCATATTCCGGTGCGTGCATATATTTGCTTTTTGCGCCGCATTCTGTTTTCTACTTCCTTTTCTCTATCGCTGTGCCTGTTTGGGTAGATTTTATGCACTGCAAAGTCAATGGCCAGTTCTATCTCGGCGACACTCGCATCTACACCTACATCTGACTGCGCAATCACATTAGCCCAGTAGCTTTTACTGGTGCACCCTGGTTTCAGGACATTTCCACTTTGTCTTGCAGCTGTGTGTCTGCAGTCCTATCTTTGTCCTCAAAACCCACTTGACCATTAAACGCAACCCGCCATGCTGTCACCGGCATGAATACTCAACTGCAGGACAATTGCTACTACAGTAACCAACGTAAGTGCACACCTAGTTGCTGCAAATCAGGCACATCCGCCAGTCAAGTTTACGTCGCGGATAGAGACGGCAGGTTCGCTCCCTCGTGCATAATGATCGAACGGCACCGTTCAAAGAAGCCTCCATCGGAAGAAAACTTGGTCAGGACGATACAAAAACTACAGTTTTGCACCCCTCTAACAGATAGGCAATCTAGTCCGTTGTTCGGCGCAAAGGACTAGAAAAACCTGTTCCGCAGACAGCACGAACGGGGCACTTAGAAAGATTCGACGCCTGTTTAGCCATGACGGGTATCCTAACGGATTTATTGCGAATATCATCGAGATAGCAGCGAAGCCAACCACACAGACGACAGAAAAGGAAACTTTTTCACAATGTCCCCTTTCGAGGAGAGGTATCGAGTGAACTCGTGAGAAGGCGCCTAGATCAAGCTGTTTCACGAACCTTCCCTCCAGCAAGCGTTCGGGTATTACTATCGACCGACCATATTTTAGTCGGCAAGGATAGACTGCCAGCTCAGATCATCTCAGTGTACATTCCCTCTTGCATTTGCTCATGCAGAGCAGATCATATTGGTCGCACGAGTCGGCGCCTATCCGAAAGAATACGTTAACACCTCTGACGAAATAAAGTGCATAAGTGACGCCGTTCTTTCGCATCTTGTTAATTCCGGGCATTTTCTGGACCCGAAAAAGGCTTCAGTGTGATTTCTAAGATCCTATGGAGCTACCGCAAACCACTGGATCATCGCCTACTAGCAGCAACAGAAGCGACTGCCGTCAGGTTACGAAAGCCGGTCTTGTGCGCACAGAATATCCTCGTGGGAGCTTTGCGTCTCCCGTAGGCAAAGGTCGGTTATAACAGCATGCAATTCTCCGCTTCCCCCACCCCGACACAACTCATCACTTTCCTGCGACCATGATGGTTCGACGCATGCAAATCCCGGGAAATCGCTTATTTCTAATTTCAGTACCGCGGTGAAAGCGTTGGTGGATGGTTGACTGACTCGAGTTTGCAGCCTGGGGTTGGTTGATGACGGTAAACAAACCAAACACGACCATTCCGGTGTCGTCGTTTAGTCACCAGGACTGTAGACTTCATTTTACCCATCGTGGCTTGTCGTATTTGCGTTTTATTGGTGAGCGCCACGTCCTGTTATGTGTTACCCCCCCCCCCCCCTGCTAAACGTTGGCCCATTTATTCCCAGTCCACCGTCAGAGGCATTGCTTTTTGGCAGTTGGCAGCAGACCCGACTGTTGGAAAAGTCAGCCGACCTATAAAGTTATTTGGGCAGTCTCTCCGCTCCTCTCTTGCACTAACACCTTTAAATTCTCGCCTCTGCTTATTTCAGGTGTGATTAACTCTAGACCTGAGGAGGACACTGTCTCCGACAGTCTTCTCTGTCTGATAATTTTAACTAGACGGTTGCTGCGGCCTTAACGATCTCAAGTCATGAACAGCACTGGTTCGGGCTACCGTAAGCTCAGGTGCTAACGGTTTAATGCATAAATAGGTAGATTAAAGGTGCGGGAAAGGTCATTTCACAAGTATGATCATAAATTTCAGTCGATCGTCGCAATATCCGTCTGCGTATCTAAGCCCATCATACGTACAAATCAGGTGGCCCACAGGCTCGAGGTTAGCTAAAAATTGCGACCTCAGACCTTCAACTCGCCACGATGACAAAATCGTTCTAATCTCATTTTATGGCCTCGTTAGTGTTTGCCAGTAATATGTACCCAACCGTTTGAAAAGTCAGCCAACCAATAAAGTTCTTTTAGGCAGTCACTCTCGAATTAACACCTTGGGATTCTAGCCTTTGTTTACTTCATGTATGACTAAATTTAGACCGGAGGAGGACACTGTCTTCATCAGTCTTCTCGGTTCGATAATTTTAACTGCACGGTCTCTGACGCCCTACTCAGCGATTGTACCTTTTTTCTTACAGAATGGTCGATGTAGGTGGACAGCGTTCGGAACGTCGCAAGTGGATCCACTGTTTCGAGAGCGTCACTTCTATCATGTTCCTCGTCGCGCTGTCGGAGTATGACCAAGTGCTCGTCGAATCCGATAATGAGGTTAGTTCCATGTCACTGTGCATGACTACGCAGCCGTGCGTGCGCTCACCTCCTAGCCCACATCTAATCCATGTCCATTAATTCTCCCTATGTTTCTGCCATCACGCTGCTTCTCATAGAACCGAATGGAGGAGAGCAAGGCCCTGTTTCGGACAATCATCACATATCCCTGGTTTCAGGAGTCGTCCGTGATCCTATTCTTGAACAAGAAAGATCTCCTCGAGGAGAAGGTTCTCTACTCTCACCTTGTAGACTACTTTCCCGAGTTTGACGGTAGGTTCTCCTGCTAGCTTGCCCAAAGCGTCTTCTGAGTCTGGTATTTTATTGCGCTCATATCGCCTAGCAACCTGGTACCTCAATTAATGCGCTTATTACTCATTTGCAGTAGTAATTGACTCGAAGAAGGGCATGCATATTTCGAGAAAAACGGATTTGACGTCCTAAAACAACATCCGACGGCTTCTCAACTACCGCCACATAGCTTAAATTTGGGAAAATGAGATTGCCGAAAGCAAACTAACTCGAAGGAAGAAGGCCAGGTCACTTGTTTGGATATGGGGACTTTTTCCGTGACCATAGGTGGCAGCGCACTGCGTGTGCTCGGGGGGGGGGGATGCAGACAAGTGTCCCTCGGTATCTCTCGGTGTTGCACATTTTTGTATTGACATGACCTGCAAAGGTGTACGGTAGGGGGCGCCCGCTCCTCTGAAAACACGACAATTATCTGCCACGTTCGCATCAGCGGATTAGATGTTGCTTAATTTCTCAGGTGAGGATGAGGCTAGTATGTACTGCCTGTCCGCGGTTCGGTGAATCCAGGACCTGCTTAGCCTCTCTGCTGACCCTCGCAGTAAGCACTCAACCACGTAAACTCATCTGCCTCCCGGGGAGGGGGACGCACCGCGCCCCAGCACCGTTAATGATCACCCAAGGCGAGCAAAGCCATCGTCTCCCAGCTGTGCCCGGGACCGGGTTGCACCACGAACAGCCCTGGTGGAGAGGAGCACAACAACGATACTGTGTACCACTTGTCAGTCAGCGTGTGTCGACCCTTAGCCGGCGCCCACCGCTTTTGTATATCTAAGCAACGTCATGCCGACTCAAACGGACCACTTAGAGTAGGTGGCTTGGACTGCACGCCATAGGTCAAAGACGGTCTGCCTTATACCGCCCATTGTTGTACATCAGTTATCGATGAAGAGGGGACGGTGGTGGGTTCCGTCCGCCTCCCGCCTCATCTGCCAATCTACAATTTTTTTTTTGCCAGACGGGGACATGTATTATCACTAGTACTGCTCTTTTCAGTGCCTATCCACGCTTTCGACTTTGTTTACTTATGCCCTCCCCCGCCTCTCCTTCCCCCGTTAACCAAGGTCCCCAGCGAGACGCCAAAGCTGCCCGGGACTTCATACTGAAGATGTTTGTCGAACTGAACCCGGATCCCGAGAAGGTGATCTACTCTCATATTACTTGTGCAACTGACACGGAGAATATTCGTTTCGTGTTTGCCGCTGTGAAGGACACTATTTTGCAGCTAAACCTTAAGGAGTACAATCTTGTCTGAGTTCGCAACCGCGCGGCGCCACCCCATTCCCGCGCACCCCGACTTCGCGAACACACACGCAGACGCTGACCTAGGGCCCTGTGAGGGGTCGGGAGGATCGGCGTTACTGCCCGCCCCCCGCTCTCCCCCTCGCCCGTTCCCTCCTTCCCTCACATGTGTGACCTCTCTCTCTCTCTCACTGCCAAAGCAATGCGAACCAGAACCCTACCATCGCCTTCAACACCAATCGGTTTTTTCTCAGTGCCCGCCCGCGCATTCTTGTACGTGTGAGTGGTTGGTTGCCTACCCTACCCTTGCCCCGGTTACAGGCATATCGATCGAAAAAGCGCGACAATGTGAACTGGAGGACTCGTTTGTGA